ATTTAGGCGCGCTTTATTCTGATTGGTTCGGATAGCATACTGCGGGAGGTCGGGGGCGTGGAAAATAGTGCTATAAAGCGATTTAGAAATCGCGCAAGCTCATATCGCGATTTTTATGGCGATTTCGATTAATCGCACAGCCCTACTTTTTATCCTAAAAATCACGTATCATGGTTTCTGCAAAAACATTAAGCAGCACAATATTACTGTTTTTACTGTAGTTCTGATCAAATAAATGCAATCTTGGTGAACATAGGAGACTTCTTTCAACCTTGGTTTGAGGCGATATTTCCACAGCTCTAACTACTTTCCCTTTTCAAAGCATTAAAATACTATAACAGCACTTATTAGAAATGACAAATGTGACAGATGACCAGTGAGATCATCCGATCTATTCATAAAGTGGATAATGGTCTTGAAATCAATGGGTTGGCAACCTAAGGCCGTTAATCATAAGCAGTCTGTGGAAAAATCCATCTGACAAACAGCTCAAATAATGTTGTTACTAAAGACTATAGAAAACCGATATGCAAAAACTCTACTTGTTTAGAATCATGCAATCATATTTATGATATAGAGATTTTATTGTCATTTAGCAAATGTAACTATACATAAGATTCCATCAGATTATCATCACAGTATTTTATCCTAATTGATCACAGCACATGATCATCTCGTCATCATAAAGAATCTCGAATGTCCCGTACAAACACAGGGTGACTTTACGACCGGGCCAATCCTAGTAAAAACCTGGGCTGACAAGACAGAAGTCATCTATCTCTCCTCAGTGTTTTTAGCCTCAGAGGGACGTTGATGAATGGGGCTTTGAACTTGCCTCTGGGCAAGCGAGGCCTCCATCAATCTTTCCCCTCCTAAAAACGCACAAGCGCACCCACGCACGTGCATCATGCATGCAAATACACGCATTATTCAAAAGACAGAGGCGCAAACAGAATCACAGACCTCAGAACTGATTTAGGAGGATTTGCTGAGGATAAACTAACCATTTAAACAAGTCATTAGGTAGCATTCCATTTCTAAGGTCACTGTAAATGCTGTAAAACTGGCCTGCACCTGACAGGTAAGGCATGTATGGGCAGTTTTTTGAAAGGTTGAAACTGTACAACTGGGCCTCTATCAGGAATGAATATCAGGAGTTTCGTAATCCTCTGAGACCTTCACCCCCAGCAGCTCCTGCATCCCAAACAAGGCTGTGCATGGAGCCAGATAACAGCCAGGCCCCGGCGACCGGCTAGACGGCTTAATCCCATTGATGGCAGGCAGCAGTGCCACATGGAACCTTTGAGTAACAGAACAAAACACATCAACCACGCATCCCGAAAATATGATTAGCCGTGTTATCAACACACCACAATGTTGTAATGCAGAGATATAAAACCCCCTTGGCAATTGACTTGCAATTCAAACACACAGGCCTCCTGCAAGAATGCTTGGTAACCATGATAAATATTTATATTCTTTCATAAGGCTGGGGAATTTGGGTTGTGACCTGTTTCTGATTGACCTCTGAAATGCTGTTATTTAGAAACTGAATTCAAACCATGTCAGTTCTAAGTTGTGGTGTGATTTGCGAAAGACATGCATTAAAAACAGAAAAGTGGACCAATTATATATTAAAATAACAGTAATGATAATAAAATTATTTTTATATATATTGTATACAATTATATTTATATACAGATATTATAAACAATACCTTGTCTATAACAGTTATTTAATATACATCTTTTTCTTAAAGCTCGTAAACTAAAAACAAACATGCCACCCAGCTATTTCACACTTACAAACAAGCTGCAACACGATGTTCTTGCACACTTTCCGGCAATATTTACAGTTAAGCTACCTTCATCCCGAGCGTTTCACACATGGCTTCAGCTCCACGCTGCACACGTCAAACGGTACCTGTCCCTTTAAGAGGCGGAACCGTATGCCCATATTTGTAAAACTGGGGGTATTTAAATGCCCGACCCCTGCTATCAATCAAAAAGACCAAACAATCACGGAAGCCTTAGGCGTGAGCTCCATTACAAACGTGACTTTCTTTTTTACATTTAATACTCCCATAAAACCTAGCAAACCCCAAAATCAGACGCTACTTTCTAAGCAATCCGTAATGCACATTTAAAGCATTTAACGAGAGAAATAGGGAAGGATCTGATCTCGTAAACTCAACCACACGTCTTTGTTTAGTTACCCCCCCCCATTCCCCGTGTAACTTTTCATCGAAACCCCCCACGTTTCCTCACGCTGCAGAACAACCAACAAAGAAATAACCTGCATGTCATATACATTTAATTTACGAGCAATAAAACTCGTACAATACAATACAGGCTGCATAAATGTGAAGCAAACCATGAAAACAAAAATAAGCAACCAAAATATCTATCCAGATGTTGTTTGGCCAGTCAGTGTTTGTCAAAAGTGAATTTCACACAGCCTAAAACGCTTAAAACCGTTTTATTTTCTGTTAACTCCTCTACAAAAGGAAACCATTGCCATTTATAATATTTTTAACCATAAGAAACAAGATGCGTCTTGAGAAGAAAACACGCACGAGTTCACTCGAAAGCGTGCAAGTTTCAGCACCACATCAATCATGACTTCGTTCAAAATCATTGCTATTCCTTTTTAAACAGATTTCTTCTTTTTTTTCTTTATTAATAGTAGTAGCTGCTATGTTGTTTTGAGTTGTTTATCTCTCTTCTTACATTATCATTCCAATATTTGTTTTGACGTGTAGCACGTTGCCCCAACCGCTGTTAAATATGCAATATAAATAAACCTTCACTTGACGTCTGACATACCACAATCTCACGTGCACGTCGATGCTGACATTTATTTACTTTTATTATGTGACACAAAACTACATAATGGGTTAATGTCAGCTGATGCTCTGCAACTCCTCGCCACAAAGCTTCTGCGAAAACCCTGCGTGAACCCATTTTTGCTGCTCGGATCGCTGGATTTTTTGAGAAGCCGTGGAAAAACAGTCAAACGTTACTGCAAAACAACGACGAAGCTTTAACCGACGGGTAACACGAGCGTTTATATTACGAAACCTGCAAACGAGGCGATTAACGGGTGGACATATTGACAAAGCAGCGCTCGGCTTACTAACACCCGAAGTGCCATAGGATTTCATACGCGGATATTTTTGTTGCCTTTCCTACGCAACGTGTGACGAAGAAACGGTTGAAATCCTTACCTGCCGTGAAACCAGTCCTTACAAATATCGCATTCTATCATAAACCGGCTCACATCGTACGGCTGCCGGCAGACGCAGTACAGCTGGGCCGTCGCCATCTTCGGACTGTCCCCAAACAACGCAGCGGCAGCCAAGCTGGGATCGAGCTGGGCGGGGATTCCTTTAATTATGCGGAAACAACACAGAGAGGAGCGCGAGGGAGGGGCGCCGAGGGCATGCCGTGACGTCATGCGTCAACACTGCGCGCGACGCACGCCAAGTCACTTCATCTTTACGTAATACGATGATAGGGTGATAATAAAAAGCACTGAATGAGACAAATGAGTTATGGATACATAAATTCAAGGTTTTAAAGTCTATTAAGTCAAGACCAATAGTTGTTATTTTTGTTAATATAAACTATAGCTTATAGTTAAAATCAGTATAATGTACATCATGTGTAATCATATTTTACTTTTTATTAAATAATGAAAGGTACAAGTTTCCTCCTATTTAAAAAAAAATAAAAATAACGTTTTAAGAAGCTGCATTTTACATGTGAAATATGAACATGAAAGTAAAAGCTTTTAAAATGTGAAATCCTGATTTGCGTGCATCAGACCTATTTTTAAACTGAAAAAATTTAAATGAGCTACCAGACACTTTAACATTTAATTTCAGGAGATTAGGCTCAAACACTATGTCATGCAAAATTGTAAAATTAGTTTCTTCGGTCTTGTTTGAAATACAGTTCTTATGAGGAAAGAGAGAGATATTTTACACCATATTTTCAATACAGGCTGTTCAGAATTTACCTCTAGAAACACCTCTGGGTTAGAATTTGATGAATGTGTTTATGTGTTACATATCTTGTCAAATTGATATGCTTTAATACCCACCTTGCATGATGGGAAGCAGACAAACAAACAAAAATCTTAAATATGATTTTTTTACTCTGCATTTCTTTTACACTGTGCCATTATTTTTTATTTTATATTAAGAAATGATATACCATTTAAATAAGGCTGAAATTGATCTAAAATATATTTTAATATTAATTCCTTTAAATAATTGACGCAAATTTGTTTTAAATATTATTTTTATTTGGAAAACCTATATGTATTAAGTCATTTTATTGTCATGTGATTTTTTAATGTAACATTTTGTTAATATCAGTATGTTTTACCACATTTTGTTACTCTTGATATCTATGATTCACATTTTAAAAAATATTATATTACATTCTTTTGACAGTTTTTTACATTATTTTTATGCCCCATTTAAAATAGCATAAATAAAAGGCAGCAGCCTACAACAAAAGTTATATACATATTTTACCATTTAAAAAATATGTAATTATTTTATTATTAATTTTGTTTTATAATATGCTGCATTATGTAATAAGTATAGGGATCCCTGCTGGTCATAAACAATGTCACTATAAAAAAGGATGTATTATACTTTTATGTTTTCGCATTGTATTCTTGCTGTGTTTGTTGCATCATATTGCTTCCCTGCAGTGTCGAATAAAGTATATAGTAAACCTGCTAGTCCTGAAACTTTGAGTGGAAGGTTGACAATAGCACAACCTTGTGAAAAATCTGATCATTACAGTGGCTGTAAAAGCGCAACTCTCTGACTAAATACCCGTATATAAACTGCAAGCGACGCGACAAACTCGCCTACAACGGTTCCATTATAATTAACAACTCTGCGACGCGGTGAAATGAAGCGGCGTTGATTAGGAAGTTTGTCGCGTCGCGTCAGATGGGCTTTAAGCTCTGGGCGTCGCCTTGGCTCGACCCGGACCAATCGGGATTGCGCTCAATACTTTGTAAACAACACAGTTGCACGCTGTATGAAAACTTTACTACGAGAGAGGATGTCGCGTGCCGAGGACCGCCAGAAAATCTCTTAATTCGGTAAGGGGCATGTTTAAAATATTTACAGGTTTTGTGAGCTTAAATGTTTGTCACGTCGAGGATACAAGCACTTTTCTCATCTCTGAAAGAACGAGCGCAACTACGACGTTGGCAGACATCCGGGACGTTTGTCGGTGAAAAATAGTGAACGCTGATGTATTTCTTTGGCAAAATCTCTGTTTGTTGTGACACGACGAGTAGCTTTAGGAGTAACTAAAGGGATACTCTTACTAAGGTGGTCATTTTTGTTTCTCGTTTCTTTTGTAAAAGAACGAAGCGTAATGAGATCCTCATCGTAAGTGATAAACTCTTGCGCAATTGAGCCACGGGGAACATCGGTGGGCGGCTTTGCGCTTTGTTTTCATTATTGTTTTAATATCATGATGTTCAGGGGTCAAGATGTTTAGTCCACATTTTCATGACTGTTAAAGGTGCATGGCTGAGGATGGCTTAAAATGTGAAAGATATGGTCAATTATATAGGCTACACTCATAATAATTTTAAATTTGGGTCCATGACGTGATGCTTGTTTTTGTCCGGAAGTCACTCAAAATGCAATTCATACAAGAATGATTTGAACACACACTGTTTTATTAATAGTTTTATTCATATGTTTTAATGTGTGAAGTAAAAGCAATTTAGATTTTTGTAAGTCAAAAAAGTCTTGGTGGTGTAACTGTCCACAGATTGTAAAAAAAGAAGAAGTCCAATTAAAAGGCTAAAATACTTTTAATAATTTATTGAAAAAGTGTTCTATTATAACATTATATTATTAATCGTTTCAAAAACAATCAAAACATTTGTCTTTTTAAATGTTTGTGTATGGAGAACTTTGTATATCAAAGTCAGTAAAGAATTACCAATATAGAAGAGCCCATTTTGTTGTCATTGTTTAAAAAAAAAAAAAACATATTTTGTTAACATAAAGATATTTTATTACATTAGTTATTAAAAACAATTAAGTAGTGAAGTGATTTTAAAATATTTACATTTTGAAAACATTGTAAACCAAAGTCAGTGTGGCATAGGCCTGACCAATATGTAAGAACTTGTTTTGTTTCTTTTTTTAAAAATACAACATATTTTTACCTTTTTATGAAAACACATTTTGTCAGATACACTGTTTATTTATTTCTTTTAAAAAAAGCAGTCAAGTCATTAAAAAATATATATATTTAAATTAGGAAATCTTTGTAAATCAAAGTCAGTGTGGCATAACCAACAATAAGCAAAATGAACCCAATAAGAATTTTTGGTCATGTGTAATTTTTTAAAAATGTAACATTTTTCTTTACCTTTTTATGAAAAGGCAGATTTTGGTACTGTCAAGATCTTTTACTTTAGATATTCATAATTCATCTTTAATAACAACAGTTAAACATTTAAATGATTTTAGACAAAAAAGTTGTTTGTGTATTTAAGGTTTAAAAATATATTTTGTACTTTACATTAAGGTTCCACCATTTTACATTTTTGTCATTAAATTAAGCCATTAAATAAAATATGTGTTAGTAAATATGAACCTTTTTTTTTCCCAAAAATGTATAATTCCAACATGATTACAAAATTTGATATCTCTAAGAACTTGATTCACGTGTTTAAAAACTGATTTAAAAAATCGCATTACTATCATCCTTACTCATGGCCCATGCATGTGACTTTTTGTAGAGGTCCAATAAGGGCAGAGTCCCTGAACTGTGAATGGCATCCCAAGCAGGCCAGAGTGAATACCTTGGCTGTTATTAAAATCCATCAAAGAACAAGCTTTTGGATCTTTTGCTAAACTAATCTAACCTAAGTGACCAAACTATATAGTTTGATTGTGTAATATTCATCTTAGTGAGTCATTTATAATAGCAACACAATGGATGCTTCTAAGTGCACCGTCAAGTTTCAACATCCTCGTAGCTGGAAGCTATATGGCATTCAATACCTGTTTCTGCAGCGTTTGTTTGCTTTAGTCATGCATGCAGTGCTTCCTCTGAGAAGTCTGCTCAACACATGCTTTTCCGAATGCAAGCACAAACCCAAAAACAAAACAGAAAATGCCTCAGCAGTTTCAGTTTTTGGGTAACTGCAGAAGGCGAGGGGCAGGGCAGGCAGGTGCTCGTTTAAAGGGGTCATATGATGCTGCTAAAAAGAACATTAGGTAGGCGTGGTTAACTCTTAACTTTTATAAAGAATATCTCTTTGGTTTTGAGACTTTAGTGTTTGCAACTTTACAGATCTTCTTTATGCACCAAGAGCTTGTAACACTCCAAAGAGAAAGGAAAAATTGAAATCGCATCATATGACCCCTTTAAGACATTGAACATGAACACAGGATGTGGGCACAGCCTTCATTTTAGAGCCTCGGCGCTGCACGTGCAGCGTTCATCCAGAGTCCTCTCTCCTGAGGAAGAGGAGGAGGGGAGGATGTATCTTCCTGCCGGGGGGCTCGATCAGGAACACAGTGTCTCTGACTCCTGAGACAGATGCAGGGAGGTCTTTGTCCTTCATAGAGCAGGTTCAACATTCAGTGGTCCCCTCACTGCATCCCAGCAGTGTATTTGACAGGACAAAATTATTTATTTAATTTTTCATTATCGCAAAGGATTGTCAAGATATGCCTGATTTCTACCAAGAGTGTTAAAGCCCCCTTCTTGGTTGATCATCAAAATGGCTGATCTTTCTGTGTGGCCGTTATGGTTGATTTATCTCCTACGCATACTGTCACCTGCTGTGGTTTTAAGAGACTTGGCTTCTGAGAAATGACATTGTTGACTTTCTGTTACTTGCAAGATCAGTGTTTCGGTTTGGAAGAACAACTGAAGGAAAGAAGTTTTGGAAATTATATTTTAAAACACCAATTGTAATATTATTTAAAAAAAGTATATAATATGTTATATTTTAAAATATATATATATTTTTTAATATTTAAAATATTAAGAAAAAAAATATATATATAATCTGACTAGATGTGTGCCTAGAAGTTATTCAGTTGCTTTTTAGAAACATAGAAACCATCCCATCAAGTAATTTTGATTTCACACACTAAATTTATCACCCATTTCAAAGTTTTGAACCAGCAACAGAGAATACAGTTAATTCATAGTGGTAGCGAAAATGTGAATCGTGAACTGTGCATTTCTTTGTTTTGTTTGCTGTTCTTCTGAAGCGGAAATGTCGGTAGTTCTCTTCTGAGCAGCTGTTTGTGGGCACTGATACAATGACAGTGAAAGGCTCATCTGGGGCAACTCAACGTCATTGTTTCCTGGAATCTATGCTAATGAAAACGAAGACAAACAAAACAAAAAGTTATCAGCATAAATAGGCTTTAATATATGCATGATAGTTTTAATAATTTTAATAATTATTTTGAAATAACATCTGTACTATTATAGAGACTGGCTTCGGGTTTTAGGTGAAAATATTCTGTAATAATAATATTATGTAATTCCAGTTAGTTCAGTAGGCTATTGTTTAATAGTGCTTTACACGATACAATTAAGCAGGCCAAACGTGACACTAGCATGGTTAGTTAGGACGAGGAAGAACCTTGAGGTGAATCATAACATATTAGTCAGAAAAACAGTAATAATTTCCATTGGGAAGTGGCTTAGTTATGAGTTATTCATTATGGTAAATGGTTTGTATTTTAAACAGGAAGAGCTTGGCTCAAATCATACATGGGAATTTTTTGACTTTAGTAAAGTCCCTCAAAATCTAGTTTGACTCCTCTCTTTCAGTTTATGCTGTAAAAATGACCTAAAACGGTGATAAAAATGTTTAGCTAATTGTTAAATCTCAACAAAGAACGTGACAGCCTAACTTTACAGGAAGGAATAAAGAAACATGATACGTTTCTTTGACAATGCTGCCATCTAGTGGATGAAAGATCATATTTGAGTAACACTAGAGAAAGTTTGGTAACATATCTTCTGTTTACGGTACTGTAAGTAAACATGCATTGAATTATTTAACTCAGTTATGTTTAAAAACAAAAAGCTATTTTGTATATGCCGTGTTGGTCTATATTTTGCTTCTAATTTATAGTAATGCAGTGTTTCCCCTAGGTTTACGGCTTTGGGGGCTTTTTAATGGTTAAATTAAATTGTATTCATCAAAAAGCATGTCTAATTAATTAAAATCATGAAACTTAAACAATTTAACATCAATTTATTAAAAGTTTAACAAAAAAGTGTATACCAATGTCGTATGTAACTTTAGAGACGGTCCCTAGATTTGCGAATATCGAGTGCCGGGAAATGACACCTCTGGCCATTCCGTTGGGTCGTTTGTAAAGTCACAGATACTGAACATAGTTTTTCTATGTATCTTGCTCTGTTGAACGGCAAAAGTGACTTTACTAGGCTATACTGGATTTACACCATGTATTTCCTGTCAGCGGGAAAGCCGCACCCCCAGCTATTACAAGACCCGAGCAAGTCCATGGTTGACACCCTCTCATTAGGATGTTGTGCAGAGGAAAAATAAATGCGTAACTACATTCAGAAATAAATGAGTGATTAAAAGAAAACGGTTAGGATGAGTTTAGCATTTCCTTAAACATTTTCCGGCCGGCCACCAATTTATTTTATTTATTTGCCTATATTTCATCACACGTTTAATTATTTATATACGTATTTAAACAAGAATACGTGTATTTATACACGCATTTATTTATTTATTTGCGTATTTATTTATACACACATTTATTTATTTATTTGTGTATTTATTTATTTTTAATTTCTGCAGGTTTGGTCCTCCATACGCTGACACATTCTGGAAGAGTAGTTGTTCTCAATTTTAATTTTTTAATTTATTTATTTTTAAAAAGCATTTTCCTTAATTTTAATTTCAGCATGGTTATCAGTGTTTAAATGTATTTTTATTATGCATATTAATGTTTATATTTATATATGTACATGAACAATACAAATAATGTATACATCAACAGTGTTATTAGTATAATTTAGTATTGTTTATTTATTATTACTGTATTATTATTATTATTATTA